AGATAGTTCCCTCACATCCTCCACACCAGATAGTTCCCTCACATCCTTCACCCAGGTAGTTCCCTCACATCGCCCACCCAGATATTTCCCTCACATCCCCCACCCAGATATTTCCCTCACATTCCCCACATCAGATAGTTCTGCTCCAATCCGATATTTCTGCTCCAATCCGGATATTTCTGCTCCAATCCGGATATTTCTGCTCCAATCCGAATGTCTCCATATCCATCCGGATGTTTCCATTAGTACCTCATCTCTGATTGGTCAGTGTTTTCCAGGCTGTCCTTCAGTTGCTGTCCTCCTGGAACAGAGAGGGATTAACCTTCACTTAACACCTGGCTCCTGTTAACGTTTTTCACTCATTAAACCAAAACCAACAACCAACAGCCAACAGCCAATAGGAATTGTTCAAAAAAACCACCCGTCTTATCATTATCCAATTGGAACCAGATAAATCACTGATCACTTGGTAAGTGAGGCCGCTGCCCCATGTATGGGCTAGTACACACGGATCATTCACGAGCGTGGCTAGGACCCTGACCATTAATGAGTGTAACCAGTACCATGACTGATCACAAGTGTGACAAATATCCTGACCACTAACTAATGGCTAGTCACAAACCTGATCAAAGTAAAATATTGAGGCATTTGGGCAGATCCTTGTTACACTTGTTATACCTTTCCAACCTGAAAAAGGCCCACTAATACTGACTGTCTGCTTGCTGTGTTCGAACCAAACCTCAATCAATGATAAGACGTTATCATGAATACCACAAACATAAGAACATAAGAACTAGGAGCAGGAGTAGGCTGTCTGGCCCTTTGAGCCTGCTCCGCCATTCAATAAGATCATGGCTGATCTTTTCGTGGACTCAGATCCACTTACCCGCGTTCTCACCGAATCCCTTAATTCCTTTATTGTTCAAAAAATATCTACCTTTTTTTTAAAAGCGTTTACTGAAGTAGCGTCAACTACTTCACTGGGCAAGGAATTCCATAGATTAACAACCCTCTGGGTGAAGAAATTCCTTCTCAGTTCAGTCCTAAATCTGCTCCCTCTAATCTTGAGGCAATGCCCTCTTGTCCTAGCTTCACCTGCCAGTGGAAACATCCTCTCTACTTCTATCTTATCTATTCCCTTCATAATTTTATATGTTTCTATAAGATCCCCCCTCAATCTTCTGAATTCCAATGAATATAATCCCAATCTACTCAGTCTCTCCTCATAAGCCAACCCCCTCAACTCTGGAATCAACCTAGTGAACCTCCTTTGCACCCCCTCCAGTGCCAATACATCCTTTCTCAAGTAAGGAGATCAAAACTGCACACAGTACTCCAGGTGTGGCCTCACCAGCACCTTGTACAGCTGCAACATAACCTCTCTGCTTTTAATTTCAATCTCTTTAGCAATGAAGGACAAAATTCCATTTGCCTTCCTAATTACAAGCTTTAATCCAGCACAAAAACCTTTTACGCAGCACGTTATTGAATTTCTAAATACCCTATATCTAGCAGGTCCCCTTTATCAACTCTACTTGTTACATTCTCAAAGCTCTTTACCATACCTTTCAAACATTGTAAACGTCAGCCTTCCTGCTCCTATGATGCTGCTTGGCCTGCTGTGTTCATCCAGCTCTACACCTTGTTATCTCTTGACTCCTTGTGCAATTGGTTTAAAGTTCTCTAAATGTCCTGCTATTTCTTCCTTGCAAAGACCTAAAATAACAGCATTCATTAAAGCTACAGCTGTAATTATGGGTGACTTTAATCTGTGTAGAGACTGCACAGATCAACTCAGTACCAATGTTGAAGAGGAGAAATTCTTGGAGGCTGAGGGGAGACCAGAGAGAAGTATATAACATTATGAGAGACATGGATCGGGAGGATAGTCAGAGTCTTTTTCCCAGGGCAGAAATGACAAATACTAGGAGGCATAGGTTTAAGAGGGAAATTCTAAAGGAGATGTGTAAGGAAAGGTTTTTATACAGAGGGTGGTAAGTGCCTGGAATGTGCTGCCAGGGGAGGTGGTAGAAGCAGGTACAATTGGGGGATTTCAGAGGCATTCAGAGACATAACAACAGGCAGGGACTAGTGGGATACAGACCATGTGCAGACAGATGGGATGAGTTTAGAATGGCACCATGGTCAGCACAGACATGACGGGCCAAAGGGCCTGTTCCTCTGCTGTACTGTTCTATATTTAATTGGATGGTTTTCTGGAATCATACATTGGAGGAACTAAGTAGAGACCAGGCCACCCTAGAGTGGGGACTGTGGAAAATGATAAAGGAATAATTGGTAATTGAGCTGTGTGAGGTGTCCTGGGCAAAATTGACCATAACATGATAGAATTCCTCATCCAGACAGAGAGTGATAGAGTTGATTCTGAGACTAGGGTCCTGATTCTAAAGGGAGGAAACTACAATGGTGTGTGGTATGAGTTGGTGATGATATATTGGGTGGACGTTACTTAAAGGGATGATGGTAAAAAGGCAAACTTTGAGTGAACTACAACAGTTGTTCATTCCTGCCTGGTGGAAAGCAGGAAATCAGGCCAGGCTGAGGCCTACGGGGGAAATTAGAGATTGGTTCAGACCCAAGGAAGTGTTATACGGATTGGCCAGAAAAAAAACCCCACAAACCTGGGGATTGGGAACAGTTTAGAATTCAGTAAGAGAGAGCCAAGGGATTGATTAAGAAAAGGATAATAGAGAATGACAGTAAGCTTGTGGGGAACATTAAACCTGACTGTAACAGTTTCTGTAGGTTTGTGAAGAGAAAAAGATTGGTGAAGACAAATACAGGTCCCTTACAGTCAGAAACAGGGGAATTTATATTGGGAAACAAAGAAATGACTGATGAATTCATACTTTGCTTGTGGGGAGGGCAAAGGAGGGCACGAATAATGTCCCAGAAATGATGGGGAACACAAGGCTTAGTGCTAGGACCCCAGCTATTCACAATGTATGTTAATGATTTATATGAGGGAACTAAATGTAATATTGCTGAGCTTGTAGATGACACACAGTGGGGTGGGAGGGTGAGCTGTGACGAGGATGCAGAGATGATAAATGGGATTTGGACAGGCTGAGGGAGTGGGCAGATGTATGGCTGATGCAGTATCATGTGGATAAATGTGAAAACAGGGGAGGCTATGGGCTAGTGGTATTATTGCTGGACTGTTAATCCAGAGATCCAGATAATGTTCTGGGGACTGGGTTCGAATCCTGCCACAGCAGATGGTGGAATTTGAATTCAATAAATATCTGGAATTAAGAATCTAATGATGACCCTGAATCCATTGTCAATTATTGGAAAAACCCCATCTGGTTCATTAATGTCCTTTAGGGAAGGAAACTGCCATCCTTACCTGGTCTGGCCGACATGTGACTCCAGACCCACTGCAATGTGGTTGACCCTTAACTGCCCTCTGGGCAATTAGGGATGGGCAATAAATGCTGCCTGGTCAGTGATGCCCTCATCCCGTGAATGAATGAAAAATTGTATATGCTTTGGTCGCAAAAACAGGAAGATCTTTAAATAAAAACCCCAAAAGAACTGCAGATGCTGGAAATCAGAATCAAAAACAGACATGGAAGTTCTGAGGAAGGGTCACTTGACCCAAAACGTTAATTCTGATTTCCCTCCACAGATGCTGTGAGACCTGCTCAGCTTTGCCAGCAATTTCTGCCTTTATTGAAGGCAGATTATTATCTGAATTGGGAGGAAAGAAGACCACATCTGGTCTCCATCACCCTGTAACAAGGTTTCCAGAATGTTACTGGGACACTAGTTTAACCAAGGCAGTGACCAGGTAACTAGGATAATGATCAGGAACTAGTTTGACCAGAACTGTGACCAGGTAACTTGTTTGACTGGAGTCATAGTCATAAAATTGTACAGCACAGACCCTTCAGCCCAACTCGTCCATGCTGACCAGAAATCATAAATAAATCTAGTCCCATTTGCCAGCATTTGGCCCATATCCCTCTAAACCCTTCCTATTCATGTACCAATCCAGATGCCTTTTAACCTATTGTTATTGTACCAGCCTCCACCACTTCCTCTGGCAGCTCATTCCATACACACATCACCTTCTGCATGAAAAATTTGCCCCTTTGGTCCCTCTTAAGTCTTTCTGCTCTCAGCTTAAGCCTATATTCTGTAGTTTTAATCTCCCCTATCCTGGGGAAAATTCTTTGTCTGTTCACCCTATCCATGCCCCTCATGATTTTATAAACCTCTCTAAGGTCACCCCTCAGCCTCCGACGCTCCAGGGAAATAGCCCCAGCCTATTCAGCCTCTCCCTGTAGCTCAAACCCTCCAACCCTGGCAACATCCTTGTAAATCTTTTCTGAACCCTTTCAAGTTTCACAACATCCTTCCTATAGCAGGGCGACCAGAGTTGAACGCAGTACTTCAAAAGTGGCCTAATCAATGTCCTTTACAGCTGTAACATGACCTCCCAACCTCTGTACTCAATGCACTGACCAATAAAGGCAAGCGTACCAAATGTCTTCTTCACCATCCTGTCTACCTGGGTCCATCATTGAGTAACTAATTTGACCAGGACCATGACCAGATTAGAGACAAAGAAACTGCAGATGCAGTTGGAATCCAAGGTAGACAAACAGGAGGCTGGAAGAACACAACAGGCCAGGCAGCATCTGGAGGAAAGGAGCAGTCAACATTTCAGGTATTACCCTTCTCCAGGACTGGATGTGGGGATAGGGGGAGCTGCAGATAAAGGGGGAGGGAGGGGTGGACACTGGTGGTAGGTACGTCCTGGTTGGTCAATGGGAGGGATAAATCCAGATGATGGCTAGAAGGGAGGGTCAGAAGGTGGAACGGAAGGGGAGCTGGGGGATGGGTGGGAAGGTTATTTGAAATTGGGGAACTCAGTGTTGAGCCCTTGGCTGTTGGATGCCCAGGTGGAAGATAAGGTATTGTTCTTCAAATTTGTGTTCCGAGTCGCAGCGGCACTGGAGGGGGCCGAGGTCAGACGATGTCGGAGAGGGAGTGGGAAGGGGAACTGAAATGGGCAGTGACCAGGAGGTTAAGGTTGGTCGTTACAGACCAGGCAAAGTTGCTCGGTGAAACAGTCACCCAGTCTAGGTTTGGTCTCACCGACGTTCAAGACCACATCAGGAGCACAGGATCCACTAGACTAGGTTGGAGGGGATGCAGGTGAAGCTCTGTCTCACCTGGAAGGACTGTTTAGGGCCCTGGATGGAGGTGGTGTGTGGGCAGGTGTTGTATCTTTTACAGTTACAGGGGAAGGTACTGGGCGGGTTGGAGTGGTTGGTGGGGAATGTGGTGCGAACTAAGGAGTGGCAAAGGGAATGGTCCTTGCGGAAGGCAGAGAGGGGAGGGGAGTGCAAGATATTCCAGCACCTCCAGGATGCTGTCTGGACTGGAGGGCAGGTCTTATGAGGAAAGGTTGAGGGAGCTAGGGCTTTTCTCTTTGGAGCGAAGATGGATGAGAGGTGACTTGATAGAGATGTACAAGATGATGAGAGGCATAGATAGCGTGGATAGCCAGAGACTTTTTCCCAGGGCGTAAATGACTATTACGAGGGAGCATAATTTTAAGGTGATTGGAGGAAGGTATAGGGGAGATGTCAGAGGTAGGTTCTTCACACAGAGAGTGGTGGGTGTGTGGAATGTGCTGCCAGCAGTGGGAGTGGAGTCAGATGCTTTAGAGACTTTTAAGCGACTCTTGGATAGGCACATGGAGGATAGTAAAATGTAGGGTATGCAGGGTGGTTTGATCTTAGTAGGATAATATGTCGGCACAACATCGAGAGCTGAAGGGCCTGTACTGTGCTGTACTGTTCTATGTTCTATGGTGGAATCTAATTGGAGTTGATGGAAATGTTGAGGATGATATGTTGGATGCGGAGGCTGGTGGGAGTGGAAAGTGAGGACAAGGGGGACCCTAGCTTTATTATGTTTGGGGGGACGGTGGATTAGATCCGTGGAGTGGGGAAGGGAGGAGGCGTGGTGGAGGGCTGTCTGGATGACAGAGAGGGGAGAAAGAGCGTTGTTTGAAAAAGGCAGACATCCAGGATGCTTGGGAGTGTAACGTCTCCTCGTCAAAGCAGATGTGATGGAGACAGAGGAATTGGGAAAACGGGATGGAGTTTTTGCAGGATACAGGGTGGGAGGAGCTGTAGTCTAGGTAGCTATGGGAATCTGTGGGTTTACAGCAAATGTTGTTCTGTAAACTGTTGCCAAAAATGGAGATGGAGGGGTCATGAAAGGGGAGGGAGGCGTCTGAGCTAGACCAAGTGAGGTTGTTGACTTGCTCACTGAGCTGGCTGGTTATCATACAGACGTTTCGTCACCATGCTAGGTAACATCATCAGTGAGGTCTCTGATGAAACGATGTGGTTCTACTCCACTTGGTATTTATATGATCCAGTCTGTTAAGTTGGGTTCTGTCATTTCCAGTTCTGTTCTGCAAGGGTTTGTGAATGGGGTCTAATTCCACATGTTTGTTGATTGCATTAAGGGTTGAAAACCAGGCCTCTAGGAATTCCCCTGTGTTTCTGTGGTTGGCTTGAGCTAGGATGGCCCCGTCATCCCAGTTAAATTGATGGCCTTCATTGTCCGAGTGCACTGTAAACTACGTTGGTCCTGCATGTCATGAGTATGGGGTCTTTGGTCCTTGTTAAGTGTTTGTTGTAGAGTGGCTGTGAGCTGTGTGCCACCATGATTCCTAGTGATCTTAGGAGTCTCGTAGTCAGTTCTGATATGTTCCTAACGTAGAACAGTGTGGCCAGTGTCTTGGGGTGTATTGTGTTCTCATGGCATTGTCTATCTAGTAGACACCTGCAGATGAAGTTGGTGGGTGTCCATTGATAGCGAAGGCCTTGTATAGGTGCTCTTCGTCCTGCTTGTGAAGTTCTGGTGAGTTGCAGTGGGTTGTGGCCTGTTTGAGTAGTGTCCTTACACAGCTTTATTTGTGAACGTTGGGGTGATTGCTGTGAAAGTTGAGGATTTGATCAGTGTGGGTCACCTTCCTATTTACTGTGGTTTGGAACTCCCTGCTGGTCATTCATTTTATTCTGACGTCTAGAACGGAAGTTGATTGTTTTTCTCTTCTCTTGTAAATTTGATCCTGTTGTTGATGAGATGGTGCATTTTTCTAACTTGGTGTGTTTAATGATGATAAATGTGTTGTCCATGTATTGGATCCATAGTTATGGCTGTATGAGGGGGAGGGTAGTGCATTCCAGGCTTTGTATGACTGTCTATGCACTAAGTCCTGAGAGTGGTGACCCCATAGGTGTGCCATTGATTTGTTTGTATATTTGGCCGTTAAAGATAAAGTGTATAGTGAGGCATAGGTCCAGTAGTCTGAGGAGGTTGTCCTCGCTGATGGAGCTGTTTGGAGTCAGCGTCCCTGCTGCATCCAGTAATGTAGCCACTGTTCCTTTGGCTAGTGAGATGTCAATGGACGTGAGTAAAGCTGTGATGTCAAAGGATGCCATAATCTCACCGTCATGGATTTTAATGTCCTTCAGCTTGTTAAAGAAATCTTGTGTTGAGTGGATGGAGTGGGGTGATCCATCAGCTTGGTGTTTCAGTCTCTGTTGTAGGTCCTTGGCCAGTTTGTGTGAAGGTGTGCCTGGCCGGGAGACAGTGGGTCTGAGGGGGATGTCTGGTTTGTGTACTTTAGGCAGCCCATTGAAGCGGGGGGTGTTTGTGCCTCTGGTTTCATTCTTATGTCGTCAGTCTTGGTTATCTGCCCTGCATTCATTATTCGCTTCAATGTCTGGGTGATCCTGTTACCCAGCTGTGGTGTTGGGTCTATCACCACCTGTTGGTAAGTGTATGTATCTTCGAGCAGTGCCTGTGCTTTCGCAATGTCGTCTGGTTTGTTCATAATGACAGTCATACACCTTTTGTACGCTGGTAGGATTATAACGTTGTGTTTCTTGTGTCCTTTGAGTGCTTTTCTCTCTGACGTGTTGAAGGCGTCCCATTCATTCCTCCGGTTCAGTGTAGGGATTATAGTTTGTTGGGTGGCTTGTTGTGTTTCATCCATGAGCCCATTACCTTTTAGTGTAGCTTCCAGAGCGGCCATGGGGTCTGGACTATCACGTCTCTGTGGCCTGTGTATTAGAACAGCTTTCTCGGTTTCTGTAATAGTCTGCTGGATCTATGAGTCGGGTTTGTTCTTGTCCTTGTGGTTGTGGTTGATCAGTTTGGTCAGTTTCTCCTGTAGAGTGTGTTTTTTCTTTGTTCTGGTCCTGTGTTGTTTGATGGTGATGTTCTGTTCAAGGGTTGTTGTGCATTGCTGGTCGGTATTGTTTGGTATAATGATTTTTGGTGTGAAATTTCTCACTCTTACTCATAGAGCCAGTTATGGGTAGCTTGAAATTCCAAGCAGAGTAGAACAGCATCATGTCATCTGAGGCAACACTGATGATATTACCTAACATGGTGACGAAGTGTACGTAGGATAACCAACCAGCTCAGCGAGCAAACTAACAACCTCATCCACAACCCGAGCTAGAAATCTTCACAAGAACCTTAATATAGACCAAGTGAGGTTGAGGGTGGGGTGGAAGTTGTTGGCGAAGTCAATGAACTGGTCCAGTTCAGCCTTGGTGCAGGATGCAGCCCCGATTTAACAGGGGAAGAGTTGGGGAACAGTATGGGTGTACATACTGAAGAGGGACTGGTCGACATAACCTACAAACAGGCAGGTGTAGCTGGGGCCCATGCGAGAGACCATGGCAACCCCCTGGATTTGGAGAAAGTGGGAAGAATTGAAGGAAAAGTTATTGAGGGTGATGACTAGTTCGGTGAGGCGGAGGAGGGTATTGGTGGGGTGGGGGGACTGGATGGATCTGTTGGAGGGGAAAAAACCTGAGGGTTTTTTAGGTCGTCCCTGTGGGGCATGGACGTGTACAGGGATTGAATATCCATAGTAACGATGAAGGGCTGGGAGCCAGGGAACTGGAAGTTTCCAAAGAGGTGGAGGGTGTGGTTTGTGTCCCAGATGTGGGTGGGGAGTGCCTGGACCAAACAGGGGAGAGAATGGAGTAGGTAAGTAGTTTGACCAGGACAGTGAGTGGGCACCTAGTTTGACATTCACAAGTGAATGATGTACCCGTGCCCCCGGTGTCCAATGGAGCGGATTTGGCTCATGTACCTCACTACGATAGCTAAAGAAACAAGACTGGGGGGATTGGAATGATGTGAGGTGTCCCTGACAGAATATCAAACTAATATACAACCAGAAGCAGTTCCTGTTCTCTGCCAATAACAAACGCAGCATGAACACAGACTCTGTGCGCTGTTCCAGTCAGACTGTGAACACATACCTCAATGGTGAAGAGGAGAACAGAGCAATAGCTTCAGCAACACGAGGCTGTACCACAGGAGGTCTCTTCGGAGCTGAGTATGAATGGTCAGGGAGCTGTTGAGGGATGAGGCAGTAGGTAGTCTGCAACACAGAACAGTTTGTGAGGATTGCCAGCTGAAGAAAGCAGCGTGGGGAGCACAGGCAAAGCAGCCAGTCAATGGTCCAAATTTAAACCATCGCCATCCTTCTGAACAGCAGTTAATGGAAGCAACGCATTGAGGCAGGGCAAGCCTTGTGCAGTATAAATCAGACGACACATGGCCAAACATAAACACGCAGGCATCTCTGAATTCCAGAGCTAAGGTGAGTGACAGCCCTTCACTGAGTGTGGTAGCAAGGCTGTGCAGCAAAACCAGTGAGATTGTCTCTTATTGGTGATGGTCATAGCCTGGCATTTGTGTGGCGCGAATGTCACTTGCCACTTGTCAGCCCAAGCCTGGATATTGCCCAGATCTTGTTGTACGTGAACATGGACTGCTTCAGTATCTGAGGAGTCACGAATGGTGCTGAACATTGTGCAAACATTGGCTAACATCCCCACCTCTAACCTTTATCTTATCAATGTTGAACAACACTTAGAGAACGCACTGAGGGGGGCAAGGGCACAAAATGTACACTGGGTGGGGGATTTCAATGTCCATCACTAAGAGTGGCTCGGCAGCAGTATTACTGATCGAGCTGGTCGGGTCTTAAAGGACATAGCTGCTAGACTGGGTCTGCGGCACGTGGTGAGGGAACCAACAAAAGGGAAAAACATACTTGACCTCATCCTTACCAATCTCACAGCTGCAGTTGTATCTGTCCATGACAGTATTGGTAAGAGTGATCATCGCACAGTCCTTGTGGAGACAAAGTCCCACCTTCACATTGAGAATACCCTCCATCATGTTGTGTGGCACTATCACCGTGCTAAATGGGACAGACTTGGCACAGATCTAGCAACTCACGACTGGGCATCCATGAGGGGCTGTGGGCCATTAACAGCAGCAGAATTGTACTCCAGCACAATCTGTAACCCCATGGCCCGGCATATCCCCCACTCAACCATTACCATCAAGCCAGGGTATCACCCCTGGTTCAATGGAGAGTGCAGGAGGGCATGCCAGGAGCAGCGCCAGGCATACCTGAAGATGAGGTATCAACCTGGTGAAAGCACATTCACTTGGGTCTGGGAAATGTCCTGCTCTGATTTCCCAATAATAGATTCTCTCCGTGAGGAGTGTGAGCCTGGTAGAAGAAGGGAACAGGTTTAGTGAGGACTTAAGAGAAGTCTTTTTCACCCAGAGGGGGATGGAGTCTGGAATCCAGTCCCTGGGTGGGTAGTTGAGGTGAGAAACCTCACAACTTTTAAAAAAATACTTGGACGGGCAACTGAGACATTATAACATTCAAGTTTATGGGCCTATAGAATAGAATAGAATCCCTAGTGTGGAAACAGGCCCTTCGGCCCAACAAGTCCACACCGACCCTCAGAGCATCCCACCAAGACCCATCTCCCTATAACCCACCTAATCTACACATCCCTGAACACTATGAGCAATTTAGCATGGCCAATCCACCTAACCTGCACATCTTTGGACTGTGGGAGGAAACCCACACAGCCACGGGGAGAATGAGCAAACTCCACACAGACAGTCACCTGAGGGTGGGATCGAACCCAGGTCCCTGGCGCTGTGAGGCAGCAGTGCTAACCACTGGCCTACTGTGCCGCCCCAAAGTGGCTGAGTGTGGGAAAGTGGGACTAGTACAGGTTGTTGTATATTCATGGCAGTACACGCCTGATGGGCCGAAGGGCCTCTTGCACACTGTATGATTTTAGACTGTAATATTGCTCAGGCATTATAAGTGAAGCGACAGCGCAGTGACAGCGCAGGGACAGCGCAGGGACAGGGCAGCGACAGGGCAGCGACAGCGCAGGGACAGGGCAGCGACAGGGCAGCGACAGCACAGGGACAGGGCAGGGACAGCACAGTGACAGGGCAGTGACAGCGCAGTGACAGCGCAGCGACAGCGGAGCGGAGGGACAGCGGCGTCGAGTGACAGCGGAGCGGAGGGACAGCGGAGCGGAGTGACAGCGGTGCGGAGGGACAGCGATGCGGAGGGACAGCGGAGCGGAGGGACAGCGGAGCCGAGTGACAGCGGTGCGGAGGGATAGCGGAGCGGAGGGACAGCGGTGCGGAGGGACAGTGGAGTGACAGCGGAGCGGAGGGACAGCGGTGCGGAGTGACAGTGGTGTTGAGGGACAGTGGAGTGACAGCGGTGCGGAGGGACTGCGGGGCGGAGGGACTGCGGGGCGGAGGGACAGCAGAGCGGAGGGACAGCGGGGCTGAGGGACAGCGGGGCGGAGGGACAGCGGGGCGGAGGGACAGCAGAGCGGAGGGACAGCAGAGCGCAGTGTGCCATCTTACCTGTGAGACTTGTTTCTGTGGGAGTGAAGGTGGAGGTGGTTTCCTGGGAGGTTCCCTTTTCACTGGCCGCCTTTTGGAATTGTCAGGATGATGGAACGTTGTCCCTGTGGGAGCAGGAGGCCGCTCTGGCTTGTCCTGGTACTTGCTTCTGGAAACTCGACGCTGTGTCCTGTTGGCAGATGCACCGACCGTGTCCCCAGGCCTTGGGGTCTGAGACAGACACTGACCTTGATCAAGCTGTTAGAGGGTAATGCACAATACACACTGGTCAGGCTCTGAGAGATAACAGTACCTCACACAGGGCCGAATGGCCACAGGCTCACCCAGCTCCTGCTTTACTCCAACATGAAACAAAAAATACCACACAAAACTGTGGATGCTGGAAATCAGAAAC